TTTGATTGAAAATAAATTTTAAAAATTCAAACTTTGAAGCAAATACAAATAAAAAAATGTTTTTAGAGCAAATACAAAATCCAAAATATATATCAAATAGTTTCAAAGGCTGAAAAGACTGAATTTGTTTTCTAAAAATATATAAATAATATTTTTATATTTTTTTCTAGCTTTATCAACATCCAGTCCTAAAACAAACAGTACTCTCTTTCTAGGGGCCACCCATAGGGACCATGTGTCCCTCACCTGTTGTCCACCGTCATGACAGCTGGTCCACAGTCGCTTACAGCCTCCAAACCTCGAGCGCTCCTCCCCTCTTTAACACAAAGAACACCGAAGCCCCCACCACCTGTCCTACTGTAACACAGTCTGTGCTGTGAAATGAATTCACCCTCGCCGTACAACAGGTATCCCTTTATAAAAAAAGACCATGGGATATTGTGTCGCTGCACGCTTCGCTGCTCTTGAGTGGGAGCCCCATTTTGTTGGGAAGTGTCGGAGGGAAACTGTGCTGCTGTTATTGGACTGGTGCACCGAAAGCCATTCACATGATGGAAATATCGACAGAAGAGTCTATGAATTCTACTGCTTGTTTTGGCTGCGATGAAGAGAATCAAGCAATTCACAGAAGTGCAGGAAAGAGCTTTGGATTTGATTAATACAATATAAGCATGTTTAATGAGTTATGGTTATTTTGATTGAAAATAAATTTTAAAAATTCAAACTTTGAAGCAAATACAAATAAAAAAATGTTTTTAGAGCAAATACAAAATCCAAAATATATATCAAATAGTTTCAAAGGCTGAAAAGACTGAATTTGTTTTCTAAAAATATATAAATAATATTTTTATATTTTTTTCTAGCTTTATCAACATCCAGTCCTAAAACAAACAGTACTCTCTTTCTAGGGGCCACCCATAGGGACCATGTGTCCCTCACCTGTTGTCCACCGTCATGACAGCTGGTCCACAGTCGCTTACAGCCTCCAAACCTCGAGCGCTCCTCCCCTCTTTAACACAAAGAACACCGAAGCCCCCACCACCTGTCCTACTGTAACACAGTCTGTGCTGTGAAATGAATTCACCCTCGCCGTACAACAGGTATCCCTTTATAAAAAAAGACCATGGGATATTGTGTCGCTGCACGCTTCGCTGCTCTTGAGTGGGAGCCCCATTTTGTTGGGAAGTGTCGGAGGGAAACTGTGCTGCTGTTATTGGACAGGCGCACCGAAAGCCATTCACATGATGGAAATATCGACAGAAGAGTCTATGAATTCTACTGCTTGTTTTGGCTGCGATGAAGAGAATCAAGCAATTCACAGAAGTGCAGGAAAGAGCTTTGGATTTGATTAATACAATATAAGCATGTTTAATGATAAGATCATACTGACGCTAAACAATCAATCAAACTTCAATGCACTAACTAAAATAAGCTGGAGCCAATTTAAACCAGTTTCATGGGATGCAAATCAAGGTTTCATTACTCAAATAGGCTAGAAACATTCATGCAAACGTTAAAGGAATAGTTCAGGCAGAAATGGAAATTAGCTGAAAATGCACTCACTCTCAGGCCATCCAAGATGTAGAGTTTGTCTATTCATCACATTTGGAAAAATTCACTCCATCAGTTAATGTCTTGAGAAGCCAAAAGCTGAAACAAATCCATCATTAAGACTTTTTTAACTTCAAATCGTTGCTTCTGGTTAAAATACACGAGTCCATAATCCATAATAACGCTTCCTCCAGTGAAAAAGTCCATCTCCTGTTGTTTCTCACATCAAAATCCACACACATATTTGTTTTGAACTGTTTTGGCTTGTAAACGGTACTTGATCTGTGCAGATTTCTCTCCTGATACAGACCAGGCGACTTTTTCACTGCATTATTATGAATTATGGATTATGGGTTTGAAGTTAAAAATGCTTACAATCACGCAGCTTTTGTCTTCTCCAGATGTGAACTGATGGACTGGAGTGGTGTGGATTACTTGTGGATTATTGTGATGTTTTTATCAGCTGTTTGGACTCTCATTCTGACGGCACCCATTCACTGCAGAGGATCCATTGCTGAGCAAGTGATGTAATGCTACATTTCTCCAAATCTGATAAAGAAACAAACTCAACTACATTTTGGACAGCCTGAGGGTGAAGATATATTAAGCAAATTTTTTGAGTGAATTATTCATTTAACATGGATTGTTGTATTGTTCTGGTAGTAAAAACCTCCAGAAATCAAGTAGATAACTATAAACATGTCAACAATTCAATTTTAACCATTTTTCTTTTAACTAATAGCTGTTGCTGTGCCATGCTGAGAGAAAACAAGCCAAGAAAATTGACTGCAGATGAAGACGCCTACAATAACACTCCTTGCGGCAATGCATATTCTTGTCGCATTATGAATTATAGTCTAATACGTTTCAGAAAAGCAATGCATGAAATCGAGATCCAAAGCACCTGCATTCGTGTAGAGTTTGTTTAAGGCCAAACTGCAATGCTATAGTTGTAAAGCAAGCTAAGGATGCCTGCTTGAGCAAATAGGTCTGCATAAAGCTGATGCATCAAGATGGAAAAAAAACTAATGCAGAGTGTATTTTCTGTGCCAGGCTCTTAAATGCCACTACACTCGGAAAACCTTCCAAGAGCTCAACCAGAATCAATGCTTTTACTAAAAAAACTGACTCAATCATATGCCAAATCTTGATTGAAAATATAAAAGGGAAGGGGTAAATATTAATTAGAGTAGAAATGAAAAAGAAATTCGTCTTCCAGAGAGCAAAAAGCAACATGGTGTTGACTGAAGCATCAAATGAAAGGCCATTTCACACCAATGTGAAGAATGTTTCATGAGAACGCAATGAGAAATAGTTCCACATCAGATCTCATTCACACCATATGCATCCAAAGACAAAAGTTTATTTAAAGAAACAGAATGCTCATTTTATAAGGAGTCAAACCTTACTTGAATAATACATATGCCTACACTCTTAAAAGTAATGGATATTTATTGCCATTTATGGTTCCATGAAGAACCATTAACACCCATGGTACCATAAAAGGTTCTTTACAGTGGAAAAAGAGTTTCAAAATGGCTCTTTTAAGAACTTTTTACTGGAAGGTTCTATGGGGAAACAAAACTGGTTCTTCTATGGCATCACTGCAAAAACACCTTTAATTTTAAAAGTGTATATGCATAAAAAACTCCTCAGAAAATCCTCATATCCAGGTGCAAATGTCACCCAGAGACTAAATGTGGCCATAATATATAGTAGGTGTGGCTCTAGTGTAAAAAACAAATGGAATATGTGAGCAGCGTCACTCCAGGGTGTCCAACAAAACCATCTGGAGCTGCTTTAAATTCCGGTGAATTTGCAAGTTTCAGGTCTTCTTTAGCACCTCCAAATCCCCTCACGCCTCCCACCATTAAACCAATGAAATATCCTGCTGTCAGAGCACACAATGCACTCCTCGCCATCTCTGGTGAACATTGCCAGGAGAGACAGAATCACTATGGGGACTGCGTGGCGCTCGGCAGAGCATTCAGGCTGTGTTTGAAATGGCAAACTATCGTACTAATTCATAAGCATCCTGTACATAATAGTCTAAAAAATTCTTGCATTTCCCCTCTTCTACGGTTTGCTTCCTAATAGCGGTCTAATAAAACTGCTGAATATTGTTGGCTCTTTGACAAACTGCATCAGATAAATGCATAAATGCAAATAGCATGTGAAAGTCAGAACTCATCAAAATAGAGCTACAATCGAATGCACCATTCCTAACTATCCATTTTCTGTGCCTTTTAACTTTTTCTTGACTCAACATTTATGCTAAGAAGATATTACAAATTGGAATACAGTGCAAAATAGCCATTTTAATATCTGCAATGACAACTGGACTCAACACTTGTTGAGTCATGCAATGAGGTCATGCAAAACGCATTTGAAACATTTATCTTCGTGCATACTATTGAAGAACAGTTACACAGTACGCTAGTATTGCATTCCAATGTTATGCGTCATGCGCGTGGCTTCATGACATCACAAACACTCGCGGTGCGTTACATGCGTACCATTATGACATCATGTCCGACTGTACTAGTCTCATGGTTGCCATTAAGCGCTAATGTGGCAAGTGCGTAACCGCGCAAATGTGCGTTATTTATTTAGTGCGATTTTTGCGCATCTGCCCAGATTCAGAATAAGCACGCAAAGGCCGCATTAGTGCTGCAGCATGACAAACAAACACTCTCTGTGTCCTTGTAAAACAACCTCTGAAGCGACTACCACAATTTAAACACACAACTGTAGGGAATGTCACGAATAGCCTTTTATTATCATTCACAAACGGACGCGACGCCCAAAGTGTGAAAACACAACGACTGAAGGATGTTAGTAACCCGCTGCGGTTCTGTCGCGCAACAGTAACGTGTGAAATGGTGATTTCTCTTTGGAGTACCGCAGTGAGATGATGGGCACCGGATCAACATCCATTTAGGGTCTAGAGAGTAACGCGCCAGATTTACACATTTATACCATTCGATTACGAGCTACCACATCACAAACTGGTAAATCATACAGATTACTGATTACAGTAACCTCTGGTTATGCAAATGCATGTCTGCGCTTTGAATAAGGCAAAACTCCAAGCTCAGGATATGACCACGCCTGTTTGCATCCATATTCTACTGTACCGTTATTCCACAGCTCACGTCTATTATTCCCACTATCATAAAACTTCAATATTGATTGTATATAACATTCAATATATTAAATAATAATGATTATTTGAACGCATTAAGGCCTCTAAATCTGGATCAGCATTAAATACACCTGGATTTATATCATTGACGCAAACTCCTCTCATTTGGACTCCATCACCACCCACGTATTTATGAGAAATCACTGTTATTATTGCGGCAAACGCGGTCTACGCGAGCGCATTTCAGCCTGTGTTTTCTCAATAAAACATCCGAGGATAAAATAAAGGGTTTGTTTGTACTTACCGATAAAAGAATACGTGATAAACTTCACTGCCTTTGGAGTCCGCAGCGCGCAATGAGCGAGAGAGAGGCTAGACACACTGCGCTGGGAGTGACCGATGCGCACTGCCTCCCTCCCCGTCAGCTGCTGCACTGAGACGCGGGGCGGGGAATCTGCTCGCCCTACTACGGCGAGACAGCTCGGCCTTCGTCATAGTAGTGGGGAGAAGTTTGATTGAACCGACTCACTGATTCGTTTTTTCACTGATTGTGGTTTTGAAATTGCGACTTTCACCATAGTAGTGGAGAGAAGTTTGATTCATTTGAGCGAATCGATTCGCTCCTTTGTATGAACCGATTCATTCGTTTTTTCACTGATTGTGGTTTTGAAATTGCGACTTTCACCATAGTAGAGGCACAAAATCACTTTCACAGACTGTTACATTAACTGTTGCCTCCTGGTGGAATGACCTGCCCAACTCAATACACACATATACACACACCTTGCTACGTGTACTGCGTTAGGCTAACCGAGACTTGTCATTTGCACTTATATATTGTTGCTCTTTTGTTAGTTTTGACTGCTTCTATTGTCCTCATTTCTAAGTCGCTTTGGATAAAAGCGTCTGCTAAATGACTAAATGTAAATGTAGTAGTCTGCAGAGGATTGATTCGTTTTAGCGAATCAATTTGATGGTTTGAGTGAACCGACTCACTGATTCGTACAAATGAATGAAGTCTAGCGTGATCGCGGCGTTTCTACGTATTTGTTTAGAAATTGCGGACTTCGTCGTATAGCGTGGAGAAGTTTGATTTGTTTTAGTAAATCGATTCGATCGTTTGAATGAACCGACTCACTGATTCGTTTCTTGCGTTGAGGTGCGTATAAATGAAGTCCTGCGTGTTCGCGACTTTTCTTTATTTTTTGAGATTGCGGCCTTCATCATAGTGGCGTGGATTAGATTGATTCGTTTATAGCGAATCAGTTCGATTTTTTTAGTGAACCGACTCACTGATTCGTATGAATAAAGTCCAGCGTGGTAGCGGCTTCTTTTTGTCATTGTCAAATATTTAGTTGCTGTTTATTTTTCTGTTACTTTAATAAATAATCATGTTACACTATTATGCCTCGAAAAATAATTGTCAAATGGCGTTATGATAAAGCGTTGAGAAGTCCGAATCATGTTCGAATCGGTTCAAAAACTAGATTTAGCCTACTGATTCTTTTGAAGACTCGCTCAAAAGCGTTTGCTCGGCCGTGCACGTGCGACGTACTTTTGTTGTTGTTACATTTTTAGTTACGTATAAATTGTTTATCACTGTTTAGATATTTTATTTCAAATAAAATACCTACCAAGACTGTGCCAAACGTTGTTTATAGTTCTTACTTGTTACTTCATACTGTATGCCTACTCTGTGATTTGCAAAAGCTCTGCGAATCAATTCGGATGAATCGACTCAAACGAACCATTGACTCACTAATGAGCTGTTCTAAGGTCAGTGGATATACAGTGTTTAGGCCAGACATCTGTGATGCTTATGGATCCGTGCTTTGATATAATATTGAAATATGATGCACTTTAAAATGTCAAAACCTGTTTCTCCAGAATAAATGCATTTAAATGCAATGCTATGCTTCTGTGTATAAACATCCACGCAGCTATGAGCAATTGTTTTTATTCTTGCTGTTGTTTTTATTATTTGGGATCTTCCCGAATGAAATAATAAACCTTGTAAGTCAAGTAAAACATATACTGTGCTGTTGTTAAAGTGGTCAGTCCAAATATTGCAGACCACTCTCATTAAGTATTTATCAGCACGTGTTTCTTCTCCAATCAGATGAAGAGCATGCTGCGTTATACACATGGCTTCAACCACATTCATAATTCAAAGAGAAGGCCTTTCATACATAAAGAACCAGAATGGACACTGTTGGGTGGGTCTGGAAATTGTCTGTCCAACCAACAAGGACAACAAGCTCATCCACATCAGCTGTTTAGTGTTCACACGTCATCCTGGTTATGGATTATCTGCTTGCATTTATCATTAATAATTAGCTGAGATTTCAATGATTCATACTACTTCATAAAATGACTTTTTTTAATTCAACAGAACATTCAGTACCAACAACTGGAGATACAAATGTCATGATCCAACCCTAAAGGAACGGCAGCTGTGAGTGACGGGACACATGAGACGCTTTACTGCAGGATTACAGAATGTGTTTGCACCAAAACAGGGACAGTTAGTCTGGATACATGCAAACACCTCAGTTAATAGCTGAAAAAACAACAACATGTCAGGGTCACATTTCACCCCAAAAAAGAAATGATATTTGTGCTATAAAAAAAGAAGACATTGTTTGCATTGTGTCGTTATTTTCATGACAATTAAAGACTTTTATGGGCGATTTTAATTAATTTTATTCTGTAATTACTGTATTGCAACTACTATGATGTATATGCATATATAAATAATATGTGCAATTACAAATAATATATCAATTAAATATAAATATTAGATGAACAACTTAAACCTAAAGAAATTAAACTAAAATTAGAAATGCTGTCTTGGCAACTGTCTAAAATAATAATAATAATAATAAAAAAGCTTAAGTTGAAGTAATAAAATTACTGAAACTAAAACTGAAATAAAATAAAATAAAGCAACATATATATAAAAAAAATAAAATGAGAAAATCACAACAAAATGACTAAAACTACAATGAAATAAACTAAAGCTAAATATAAATATAAAAAACTAATTAAACGAGATAATCACAACAAAATTACTCTAAAACTAAAACTGAAAATAAAATAAAGCTAAATAGAATAAAAAAACTCAACGTAATTACTAAAAAATGAACAAAAATTTAAATGGAAACAATAGTTAAAAATTAAATCAAATTTATTATAATAATATACTATAATAGTATAATAAAATGAGAAAAACCACAACAAAATTACTAAAACTGAAATTGAAATAAAATAAAAACAAATCTAAATAGAAATATAACAAAACTAATAATAAAATGACAAAATCACAACAAAATTACTAAAAAATTAACTAAAATTTAAATGGAGACTGAAATTATAACATAAAAGCTCATTCAAAATATGAACATATACTGTAATAGTATATAAATAATACTAAAATAACTCTGAAAAATGCATATGTGAAACTTTCTGAACATACAGTAACATGAACAATACAAGTTAAGCTGAATTGATTATGACAGACAATAATTTTGACTCATCCCTCAGTTTGTGTATTCTATGTATAATATATCAATATCTATTATTACAAATAATATATATCAATTATTTTTAGATTACTGTAATGAGAATTTGGGTAATACGTGCTTCATGAAAATAATCTTCTTTCGTTATACAAAATCAAATTTTTTCCTTTTGGTTTTGAGGTGAAATATGATCTGGACATGTTCTTATGAGTTCAGTTTGCTGTCCCACCCGAACGAAAGGGATTCCCCTCCGTCTCTGGGAACGCTGATCTCTGGGGTCTCTCTGGTGGGACGGACCTCTTTTCTCTCCCACATCTGTTGAGCTGAAAGCGAGGCCAGCTGAGAGCAGTTCAACAGGTCTGCCGTCCCTGCTGAGGGCAAACGCAACCCCTCTGTGCTCTGGAATGTGTCGGGCCCCGTCGCCTCCCCGTCTCTCCACACCAACCCTCTGTGACGCTGAGAGAGAGAGAGAGAGAGAGAGAACGAAAGCAGGGGAAAAGATTTAAAGCAACAGTACACCCAAACAGTACTGCAGTACCACATTCAGTAGGGTTTGGACCAACAATGACATCAGAACTTCTCCTGTAAAGGAATAGTTCAGCCAAAAATGAAAATGTGCTTAATATTTCCTCACCCTCAGGCCATCCAAAATGTAGATGAGTTTGTTTCTTCATCAGATTTGGAGAAATGTAGCATTGCATCACTTGCTCTGCAGTGAATGGGTGCCGTCAGAATGAGAGTCCAAACAGCTGATAAAAACATCACAATAATCCACAAGTAATCCACACCACTCCAGTCCATCTGTCTTGTGAGGCCGAAATATGTGTGTTTGTAAGAAGCAAATCCATCATTACGGTGAAGAATCAGGATGGATATATGCACAGATCAAGCAGAGATTACAAGCAAAAACAGCTCTAAACAAATTTTGATGTGAGAGACAACAGGAGATGGGGTTTTCACTGGAGTAAGCTTTATTGTGGATTCATATTTTAGCCAGAAGTGACGGTTTAAAGTTAAAAACGTCTTAATGATGGATTTGTTTCAGCTTTTGTCTTCTCCAGATGTGAACTGATGGACTGGAGTGCTGTGGATTACTTGTGATGTTTTTATCAGCTGTTTGGACTCTCATTCTGACGGCACCCATTCACTGCAGAGCATCCATTGCTGAGACACTGATGCAGTGCTACATTTCTCCAAATCTGATGAAGAAACAAACTCATCTACATCTTGGATGTCCTGAGGGTGAGCACATTTTCAGCAAATTTTAATTTTTGGCTGAAATATTCCTTTCACGTAAGACAAAAGTCCAGCACATGTGCGCTGAGGAATGCACGCAGCTGTAGCAAACGGTTCGACTTAAAGTTCAAGGCCAGTCAAGAGTCAGTTCAGACTCACAGTAAGAGAAAAGCAGGGTGCGTACATCTGTGAAAGTTAGCAGATGCAGCGTCCTGACGGACTGTTCACTAAAATGATTCATTCCTTTACAGCGTGAAGTCATTTCTCATATCAGTGAAGCTCAGCTGCAGTTCCACTGCTGTTCATTTGCGAGGGTATGTTAGCTGTCTAACACTAAGGCTAAACCTAAGTGTGAATAACTTTATACTGTCACTTTCAAAAGGGGTTTTGGAAATTGATTCATGCATCCATGATGCACAAAGACATACTTCAGATAGTAACACAACAAAATCAACAGATAGCTCAGTCAGAGCAGCATGAGTTTGTCATATTAAAGACATGAATTAAGTTGAAAGAAAACTGAACACACGAGTAAACAATGTACAACTCAATACAAGATGAACTCTAAATGATAGATGGCTCTAAAAGTGAAACGATGTTACTGTTAGGTATAATGTACAAAAATGTGTTTCATATATTCCTATCTGCACTTTTCAGAGTTATTTTAGTATTATTTATATACTATTACACTATATATTCATATTTTGAATGAGCTTTTTTTTTACATTTTAATTGAACATTTTAATTTTAAATTTTTTGTGTCATGGTATTCGTTTTTTAATATTTCTATTTAGCCTTAATTTATTTTCATTTCAGTTTTAGTTATTTTTTCTTTTTGTATTTTCTAGTTCGTTTAGTAATTTTAGCACTTCAACTTTTAGTTAGCTGCCAAGGCATCGTTTCTCATTTTCATTAGTTTTTCATTTATATACTTATATTTTAATTTATTTAAATGATTGTTTATAGTTTTAGTTTACAATAACAACACTGGCACTTTTTATTGATTAATATCATAGAAAACTTAGTTTAGCATTTTAATTTGAAAGTTTTAGTTACTTTGTAGTGATTTCTATTTAGCCTTAATTTATTTTTATTTCAGTTCTATTTATTTATTTTCTTTAGTAATTTTAGTACTTCAACTTTTCAACTTTTATTTTGGTTTAGTGAGTTGCCAAAGCATTTCTATTTAAGTTTTTCATCTAATATTACTTATTTCAATTACCAAAAATGATTTAACAGTTTTAATTTTACTTAACAATAACAACACTGTCAGTTTTTATTAATATCATATAAACCGTAAAAATAAGTTCCCCACTTTCATATAATTTATGCACATATGGATTATGGATTATTTCTATGATACTTATTGTGCATTAATTGTGTTTTTGGAACTGGTCATTGTGGGTTTTTATTGTATGGGAAAGAGATATCCTTCAAACATTTCCTGTTTTATGACAGACAGAAACACGAGGGTGAGTAAATGATGACAGACTGTTGAATTTTTGGATATTTTGACAATGAAAAAGTCTCACCCCTCCTATGTAGGGCTGATCGTGTAATCTTCAACAATCATTCAGGTTTATGAAAATCTTGGAGTTTTTCTGACTGCTCAAGGGAACTTAGAGCAGGAACTGCAAACAATTAAAAAGCCATGTTTCATAAAAAAAGGGGCTGATGTCATATTTTATATATCAGCTAACAAACGCACCGATTCCAGTGGCTGCGGGTCTGATGGTCTCTCGTTCTCTGACTGGAGCGCCTCTCATCGCCTGGAAATCACTTCTCTGAGTGCTGGCTTTACTGTAAGGTGCTTTCACGGGAAGATCTTCTTTAGGGCTGTTTGACCACCAGTTAAACTAGCAAAAGGCACAAAATGACCAAAATTTATGAGATAATTATAATAGAACTATATGTACAATATACACAGTGTAAAGTCACTTTAGTTCACTAAATGATCCAATGAAATCTCCCGAAGATTACTTTTTTGATTACTTAATCTCACATAGATTACATTTGGGAATTAATATTCCCATAAATATATTTTTATGTATAACTATATATAGTCTTGACTACAAAAGTAAAAAAACAACAACAACTATTGAACATTTCCACTGTTTGGTCAGGAACTATATACAGTATATGGTAATAAATTTTTATATAAAAATAATTTACATTTAATTTTAATAAAATATAATACAAATTTAAATATATACATTTATAAAATGTAATAAATGTAATTATTTTAATAACAAAAAATAATAAAATAAATTTATTATTAAATTTAATTAAATGTAATACATTTATATAAATCAATGTTTATTTCATTAATGTTTTAAAATGTAGATAAATAAAATTAACATTAAAAATGTAAATTAATAAATCATTTTAAAATTTAAAGACTCACTTAAAACTGTTTAAATGCACATTTTACAAAGAAATTTGCAATTGGCAAATGTGATTTATGATTAATTCATGATACTATTTTTTTAATTAAAAGTGATTTATTAATTTATTGTCTTTTTGTTTTAACTACATTTTAAAACATGAATTAAATAAACAGTTTAAAATATGTTTATTAAATTGTCCAATTAAAAAGTGATTTATCAATTTAGTATATTTATTTATCAAGTTATTTTTATGTTTGTATTATTAAATTGAAAAAAAAAAAAACTGTCACTCCTACTCCTTCAAAATTATTGACTTTTTAGCTAAATTTAAATAAATATAAAATAAAATAGATCATCAATAAAATAGCATACATACAGGAAAATGTCACATTCAAGCATATCAAACAATTGTTTTGGCAAACACAAAATTAATTTATTCGTATAACTGGACTCTCGACTTTTTCCTGGTCTCCCCTAATCATAATATTTCCCATTAATATGCCTATATAACTAGCATTTCCACCTGTTCTGTCTCAGTACGTCTCGTCTCCATATGAGCGATGGGCTCATTAAGGAATCTGACATTAGTTCTGATGAATCTGGCGTTGTGAGGATGTGGGACGTTGCGGGTCTCAGACTCTCGTGGGTCTCTTGCAGGATATTTATGGTTCTGATCGACACGGACCGGATCGAGACGCTCTGGCAACGTCTCATCAAAGATCCTGAAGGTGTTCGAACTGCAGATACAGAAGACAGAGACGGTTAAAATGCTCAAATGTAGGTCTGTAATGAGAGTATTGAGGAAAGCAGGGCACATTTGAACAAATACTCACTGGAAAGACTCCCAAACCTTCTTTTTTCGAGGCAGACTTTTTTCTGCATAATGGTACATTTGCTTTTCCATTGAATAGTGAATGAAGAGACTTCAGTGCTGTTAGTGACAGCTTGAGTTTTTAAAGGTTGCCATGCAACAGTGACCATATGAAATCTGACACCCACTCAAAAGAGCTGCTACTATAAAACACAAGAATGCATTAGGAAAACAACACAACAGAATAGAAATGATGCAATCTATTTCTATAAGAGATTAAATCTTTTTGGTAACATAAAAGCACCATTGCATGTCATATTTTTTTTAGAAGTGTTGCAATAGTTATACCATTGTGTTAAAAAAAACCGTGTGTTTAAAAAAAAATGCTGAGCAAGGCTGCATTTATTTGATCATAAATACAGTAAAATATGTGAAATATTATTACAATTTAAAAGAACTGTTTTCTATGTGAATATATAGTAAACTGTAATTTATTCCTGTGATCAAAGCTGAATTTTCAGCATCATTACTCCAGTCTTCAGTGTCACATGATCTTCAGAAATCATTCTAATATGCTGATTTGCTGCTCAAGAAACATTTCTGATTATTATCAATGTTGAAAACAGTTGTGCTACTTCATATTTTTGCGGAAACTGTGATGCATTTTATTTTGTATGATTCTTTGATGAATAGAAAGTTCAAAAGAACAGCATTTATTTGAAATAGAAATCTTTTGTAACATTATAAATGTCTTTACTGCCACTTTTGATCAATTTAATGCATCCTTGCTGAATAACAATATTAATTTCTTGAAAAAAAAAATACTCCAAACTGTTACAACTCTTTATGCAGGAAAAAAAAGCACCTATAAAGCCGACCATGACTCGTGTGCTTTTATGGTGACCAGACCTGAAGTGAGAACATGTGTTTCCAGAATCACAATTTTTCCACAACCAAGAAAACACATCAGTGGAAAACTGAAAACAAACTGGTTTCCTGTGTTCTTTCACTACTTCCTGTCTGTTATTGGCTCCCTGCTTCAATCTGACATGTAATGTGATTAAACGGAGACATAAATAGAAACACAAACACAGGCACATTTATCCATCAGTTAAATGACTATAAATGACTATATATATAGTAATACATACATATCGTTTTATATATGTGTGTGTGTGTGTATACACACACACACACACACACACACATATATATATATATATATATATATATACATAGTGTATATACACACACACACACACACACACACACACACACACACACACACACACACACATTCACACATTAGCCTAATTCTGACTATCAAAAACAAGCATGAACATTTACAAACAACACAAAAGCATTGTGGGGATTTTAAGTTAAAGGGAAAGTCAGATTGAACGTTTAGCGGGTTAACTTTAAATATGTTAAAAGACCTCAGATAAGCACGCTTACAGACCAACCCTGATCCAATCAATCAAACCCTGAGTCCATTAGAGCACTGAGTGACCATCACAATCGAACACTCCACTAATCATTCAATAACTAAACTACTTTTAGTGTCACTTAAAGGAATAGTTCACCCAAAAATGAAAATGTGCTGAATATATCCTCACCCTCAGACGATTCCAGAAGTAGGTGAGTTTGTTTCTTCATCAGATTTGGAGAAATGTAGCATTGCATCACTTGCTCAGCAATGGATGCTCTGCAGCGAATGGGTGCCGTCAGAATGAGAGTCCAAACAGCTGATAAAAACATCACAATAATCCACACCACTCCAGTCCATCAGTTAATATCTCGTTGCTTCTGGCTAAAATACTTCTAGACAAAAAGTGATGTTTTTATCAGCTGTTTGGACTCTCATTCTGACGGCACCCATTCACTGCAGAGCATCCATTGCTGAGCAAGTGATGCAATGCTACATTTCTCCAAATCTGATGAAGAAACAAACTCATCTACATCTTGGATGACCTGAGGGTGAGGACATTCACAGCAAATTGTAGTTTTTGGGTGAACTGTTCCTTTAAGTTTCTGCCGTCTTTTGCTGGAGAGTCGCGGCTGTGACACAATGCTTTCGGGAAACACAGACGGATCTCAAACAAAGAATCCGTCACATTCCCTCAGAGGCCCGGACCTGGGCTCTTTATCTAATAGATATTACGATTTCATACTGATTCCAGATCAACTTCTCCTGCTCTCTTAAAACACCAAAGACTCAGATTTGCACACAGCAAACTGTTCCCAGTTCAGTCTGAAAGCAGTCCGTCTATTCAAAGACACACTAACCCTCGATAAGCCTCTGATCTAATCTTGCAACTGTCAGCTAAGAGGATTCCAGCCTCCCGAACCAGCGCACATGCAGATCTGCTAAAGCATGCTGGGAGAAAAAGGACACCCTGGGGACGCTGTATGTGTGTATCTGGGTCAACATGGACAATCTGGGAGAGTTTGAGCTCAATTCTAAAGACTTTATTATTAAACAATCATTCCAAACGCTGTTCTGATGGACGCAGACACTGATGTTGCACAAAAGTGACACGCGCTGATGTCTGATACAGATGCCACCTTAACAGAGCTGTGTGAGGACGGCCAGGGTTTCCATGGAAACAGAACTATGATGAGTGTAACGCAGGCTGTGATTGGTCAATTATGCATAAAGTGAACATCTCCTGAAAGAGGCTCATGCTGTAGAATCAGAGGACGTCTAATATTCATACTACAGCCATATTCATTGAACAAGCTGTCAAAATGTATCATTTGCAATAAAACAATGAGTTCAGTGTTTTTGTGTATTAATAGAGGTTTATTAGTTTGATCAAACTGCACATCAAAATAGCTGTTGTGGACATATAGAAGTCTCTTCTGCTCACCAAGTCTGCATTTATTTGAACCAAAATACAGTAAAATTTTTTAAATATTATTAGAATTCAAAATAAGTGTTTTCTATGTGAATATATAGTAAAATGTAATTTATTCCTGTGATGCAAAGCTGAATTTTCAGCATCAGTCTTCAGTGTCACATGATCCTTCAGAAATCATTCTAATATGCTGCTTTGCTGCTCAAGAAACATTTCTGATTATTATCAATGTTGAAAACAGTTAATATTTTTGTGGAAACTGTGATACATTTTATTTTTCAGGATTCACAGTTGAATAGAAAGTTCAAAAGAACAGTATTTATTTGAAATTATAAATGCCTTTACTGTCACTTTTTATTTGATACTGTCACAATATAATGTGTGCTTGATGATAAAAGTATTAATTTCTTTTTGATAATCATAAGAAATGATTCTTGAGCAGCAAATCAGCATATTAGAATGATTTCTGAAGGATCATGTGACACTGAAGACTGGAGTAATGATGCTGAAAATTCAGCTTTGATCATAGAAATAAATTACATTTTAAAATATATTCACATAGAAAACAGTTATTTTTATTTGTAATAATATTTAACCGTTTTTACTGTATTTTTGATCAAATACATGCAGCGCTGGTGAGCAGAAGAGACTTCTTTCAAAAACATTTTAAAAATCTAAGATACAAATCCAATACAATATTTCATATTTTAATATCCTTCATGTTGAGTTTGAATTGACGGATCAGATAAAATCATATTGGCAACTCTTAGGTTTTGCTTTGAGAAAGTTACATAACTTCAAACAATTTATTCATATTTACAACCCTATGATAATAAATACAAACAAATTATAATTATGGTGTTTTTCTTTTTACGTGTTCTTGTAAACTATCTGGTAAACATCTACCAAGTGTTTGTGTTTGTTGTTTGCCGGTGCTGATCGGTCTGGCTGGGTTTCAGTAACGAGTGCCAAATCCACGAATCTCCAGTTTAGAGATTGGTTTCTCATCGGTGAACTGAGCGCGGTGGATTCGAGAGCTGGGACTGCCCACCTTACTGAGCCAGTACTTCCTGTAGATCACACACAGACAGACAAAACATGCTAAACAACAGGGCATTTAATGTCACATGGACTAGTTTTGAGACACTTTTTATACCCTTTTTTTCATACACAACACAAGACAGGGAATCACTATTGTTTTAGTTTCATTGAGATACTATTATCTTTTTTTTTTTTTTTTAATAAATTTTTATTTTTGTATTTTATTTTTTTCATTTTAATTTTAGCAAAAATTTTAGTAATTTAGTTATATGTTTTTGCCGTGTTATTTTGCATCATTGGGATACTATTATCGCTTATATTAATATTTCGAATTAGTTTTTATTTTTGTATTTTCTGTTTTAATTTTAATTGTACTTACATTTTTTGTAAGTTTGTTGTATGTATTTGCCATTTTTATTAGTTTTTTTTTTTTATATGTCTATATATGTTTTATTAAATGTTTATTTAAGTTTTAGTTATTTCAGTATATCAACTTAAACTAAATGAAACTGAGAAATGTTGCATTGGAAACGTCTCGGTTACGTATGTAACCCTCATTGCCTGAAGGTCGGTCACTCTCGACATCACGTTGGTGATGACTGACGAATTGGGATCCCTACCAACACGCCACAGGTCCTGCCCCCTCCAGTGCGTAGCGTGTAGGCCTCCTGATCCTTCCTATAAGGCAGACGATAGGACCGGGCTCTACACAGAGAAGGTTGACTACAGCTGTTCCTCGCAACCCAACAGTAGGACTTGGATAACACTGGGAAGTATGCCCTTCCATTTGGAAGAGGACACACTGTGGAGTCACCTCCTCCCAGGGGGGGTTAAGTGACATTTACTCACGTGGAGTAACCCCGAGGGGCCCTACTGCACATGGAAGTCTCTGAGATGGCTCATGGCTGCATCATTTAGAGATGGCAGAACGTGGTCTGCCAGGGGAAACACGGCCCTAGTAATTGTACCATGGAAATACACATATGGGATCACAACCGGGTCACTCATATGGGCACTAGCCTCACACCAGATTTCAGGAATTCATTGGCTGAAAGGCCTGGCGCCGGACGATCCGCCACGTATGGCCTCCAGAGTGTTGGAGGACTTGACAGGGTCTGCCCGGTCAGGGGACTCTCTGAAAAAACTAGGTGTCCAGGACGCCACAAGCCGACTCTGAACCGGGCCTCTCAGTGCCACGACCCATTTGAGGTGAGAACACAGGAGGAAACCGATTCGACACACAGGCTATAGAACCTAGCGAATGTGTTAGTAGTCGCCCAGCCCGCAGCTCTACAAATGTCTGCTAGCGAGGCACCACGAGCCAGCGCCCAGGACGATGCGACACCCCTAGTGGATTGAGCACGCAGCGTGAGTGGGCAGGGCACACCTTGTGCTTCGTAGGCCAAAGTGATGGCATCCACTATCCAGTGGGCCATCCTCTGCTTGGAGACAGCCTTCCCCTTCTGCTGTTCTCCGTAACAGACAAAGAGCTGTTCTGAGGTCCTAAAGCTCTGAGGTCTATCCACGTACTGTCGCAGTGCGTGTACAGGACAGAGCAAAGCTAGGGCTGGGTCTGCCTCCTCCAGGGGCAGCGCTTGCAGGTTCACTACCTGGTCCCTGAAGGGAGTGGTAGGAACCTTGGGCACGTAGCCGGGCCTCAGCCGGGTGCCTCAGTGTTGCACTGGAATCAGCCGGCCCAAACTCAAGGCACGATTCGTCGACCGAAAATGCCTGCAGGTCCCCCACCTTCTTGATCGAGGCCAATGCAGTCAGGAGTAGGGTTTTCATAGAAAGAGACTTCAACTCGACTGACTGCAAAGGCTCGAAGGGGTCAGCTTGTAGGGCTCTTAGCACCAATGCCAAATCCCAAGAGGGTAGGGAGGGAGGCCTAAGAGGGTTTAACCCCCTGGCCCCCCTAAGAAACCTGACGACCAGATCGTGCTTCTCCACCGACCTCCCCTCTACGGGGTCGTGATGGGCAGAAATAGCATCAACGTAAACCTTAAGAGTGGAGGGGGACAGCCTACACTCCAACTCTTGCTGCAAGATGGAAAGCACGGCTCTGATTGAACATCTCCGGGGGTCCTCCTGGTGGGAGGAACACCATTCGACGAACAGGTTCCACTTCAGTGCATAGGCCCGTCTCGTGGACGGAGCACGTGCTGAAGCGATAGGGAGAGCTACCTCCTGGGGTAGGTCACTTAGAACCTTCACGTCCCATCCAGGGACCACACATGGAGTTTCCACAGGTCTGGACGTGGGTGCCAGAGGGTGCCCCGTCTCTGAGAAAGCAGATCCTTCCTCAGAGGAATCGGCCAGGGAGGGGCTGTTGCGAGGAGCATGAGTTCCGGGAACCAGGTCCTGTTGGGCCAATATGGAGCCACTAACAAGACCTGCTCCTCGTCCTCCCTGATCTTGCACAGTGCGAGCAGGCTCACTGGGGGGAACGCATATTTGTGCAGGTCCCGGGACCAGCTGTTTGCCAGTGCGTCCATGCCGAGCGTTGCCTCAGTTAGGGAGTAGAACCACTGGCAGTGGGTGGTTTCTGGAAATGCCTACAGGTCTACCTGAGCAACTCCGAACCGTCTCCAGATCAGCTGAACCACCTGAGGGTGGAGTCTACACTACCCTGGAAGTGCTGCTCGAGACAGCTCGTCGGTTACCCGATTGAACACTCCTGGGATGTGGATGGCACGAAGGGACCTCAGATGCTTCTGACTCCAAAGGAGGAGGTGGCGGGCGAGTTGCGACATGCAATGTGAGCATAAACCGCCTTGCCGGTTGATATACGCAACAGTCGCATTGTTGTCCGTGCGAACCAGAACGTCCCTGCCCCGAAGGCGCCCTCTGAAATGGCTCAGGGCAAGGCGTACTGCCAGCAACTCGAGGCAGTTGATATGCCAACGCAGTTGCGGACCCGTCCAAACCCCTGATACTGCGTGCCCCCGTTGTGCGTGGCCCCCAGTCGGGGGCCGAGGCATCCGTGAAAATCACAGCATGCCTGGATACCTGTTTCAGGGGCACTCCTGCCTGAAGGAACGAGGGATCTGACCACGGGCTGAAGGTTCTGCGGCAGGCCGGTGTAATCTGAACCCGGTGAGTACCGCGTTCAGCACCGACTGAGCACATTCCTGGGTGCGGCGTGCTGTCTGGCTGACCGAATCCAACTCCATGCCGAGAAAAGAGATCCACTGCGTTGGCACGAGTTTGCTCTTTTCCCAGTTGATCCGAAGACCCAACTGGCTGAGGTGTCTGAGGTCCCTGTGTGCGCACAACTGATTGCGAGACTGTACGAGTATGAGCCAGTCGTCGAGATAGTTGAGGATGCGCACCCCCCATTCTCTCAAAGGAACAAGGGCTGCCTCCACGACTTTGGTGAAGACGCGAGGCGACAGGGACAGCCCGAAGGGCAGGACCTTGTACTGATATGCCCGACCCTCGAACGCGAACTGCAGCAGTGGCCTGTGCCGCGGGAGGATCAAGACATGAAAGTACGCATCCTTCAGGTCGATCGCTGCAAACCAATCTCGGGGATGGATGCACTCGAAAATGCGTTTCTGCGTCAATATCTTGAAAGGCAGCTTGTGAAGTGCATGGTTCAAAACTCGCAGATCCAAGATCGGTCGTAACCCACCGCTTTTCTTGGGCACAATGAAGTAAGGGCTGTAAAACCCCGACCTCATATCGGCTGGAGGGACCGGCTCTATCGCGTCCTTCGCCAGCAGGACTGCGATTTCCGCACGCAAGACAGGGGCATCGATAGCCTTTACTGAAGTGAACCGGATGCCCCTGAAGTTGGGGGGACGCCAGGCAAATCACCCGTGTTGCTCTTTTAGAGATTGCTCTAATAGTGCTGAAGCACGCAGGGGAGCTGGCCACCGCACACTCCAAGTGTGGCTGTCTGCACGAAAGACGATCTTTCTTTCTCTCCGTGAGACCGTGACCACCTCTGCAACGCCGTAACGCCCGCACTCGCTCTTGCAATCACTTGAAGAGGAGAGCAGTAGTGATGCACCACCGCTCAGCTCCGAAGCGAAAAGATGAATTAATGCGGTGCACTTGCTGCCTCTTATACCCGCGCTGCGGGGTGTGGCAGCCAGATGCAAAATCCGCATGCCAAGGTCCATTGGCTCGTTTAGTTACACTCAAAGTGGATTGGTCTCTCTGGCGAGATCCCAATTCGTCGGTCATCACCGACGTGACGTCGAGAGTGACTGACTGAAAGGGAACTATTTTTTTTATAATGCTAAAAAAATGTTATAAACTATATATTTTTATTTAGTTTTAGCATACCAACTTTATGAATACTTTAAAAAAAATTAATTCATTAATATAAAAAAAACTACATTTAAGTGAAATTGACTCACTTTAACAAAGATTCAAATCAGAACAACATTAAACAGTAAATAATTGTCTTTTTATTGTTTGCTGTCTTTCTACTTTGTTCTTTTTTTTAGTATTTGAAACTTTTTCACAAATGAAGGTTTACGTTTCTTCCATTTACATGTGTGATTATGATATTCACCCACCAAAATTACCATGATCACAAGGTCAGAAACCTGGAGGTTCAAATTATTCACATGACATCTTCTTAAACTAAAGGATGAATATTATTAATTTTTTAAACAATTAAAAACATCCATCCAAAATGTAGAGGTGAAAAGTTGTTCAAGAGTTTCAGGAAAAGAAGAATGCAAGGATCCGTCTCAAATTAAAAAAATGTAAGATACTTTTATGATGCTTTCATATAAATTTTGGATCTCCATTCACTTTCATTATAAGAAAACATCTCTGTCTTCCATAAAAGTAAGAGAAGCATAAGAAATGCTAAAGAAACTCCATCAGGAGGACAAACGGCATAAATTTTCTTCTCTTTCTCAAAAACAAGGGCGCGGTGCACACACACACTCACACACACACACACACACACACACACACACACACACAAACACTCTCTCTGACTGTAGCCGGACAGTCATGCAGGATCACTCATGCAGTTTTCCTCAGAGGCTGTAAATGCATTATTCTCCCAGTGGGCCGCAGCAGGGGCTGATCTCATATTGGATAAGAGAGAGTGTGCTCAGACCATCTGCATGGCTGCCCAATATTCAGCTCATAATGGGCTGCCAGGAAGAGGAGGAGCCCGTGTCAAAGAGAACAGCCACAATCTCTATAGCAAGTGCAGTGCAGGAACGGCCCGTGATAAAGAAAGATTGTGTTCTGAGCGCTGGGAATGACGGATTACAGATGGATCCGGGTTATTCTGAGGTTATCAGCCGTTACGGCAAAATCAAGAGCGTTGTTTTGGACAGAAAGCCTCGAGTTTCGTCAGGGTGCGGTTCACTCAATACTGAGGAAATCCAGCCCTGACAGAGGAAAAGACACTTTACATGGATAGGCATCACGTTACTGTTTAAGCAGTAAAAACACAAACACAAAATCCACTTAGAGAGAGAACTATATGATAGAGAAACAACACAGAAAAATGGCTTTAAAACTTATTTTCACTCAGAAATTTCACAAACCCTCTCAAAATGCTGAATTTTGCCTCACTAAAGAGGTGACTTTCTCAATTATATCCAACAATTAATTAATAAATAATGCAATACTTTTGACAATATGTTCATATTCAATTAATTTCAGTAAATTATTTATTTTATAAAAGATATAACCAAAAATAGAAACAGATACTTTAAATGTTCATTTATAAAAAATACATAACAATAATTTAAATTTTAAAAGAATAAATTTATTTGAAAACAACACACCTTTCTATAGCAACCCAATTATATCCAAAAAC